GGATGGATGGATGGATGGATGGATGGATGGATGGATGGATGGATGGACGGACGGACGCACGGACGGATGGATGGTGATGTAGCTCTGTCATCAATTTAAACTTATATGGAAATTTTAATTACCGGTATATTTAAAACAGCTTTTAAAATTGATTATTTTATATGTAAAGAATTTGTTTGTTTTCCAGTTTAAATAAAATGCACTTCAATGTTCCTAAGATTTAAAAAAAGCAAAAACGCTAAATCATCAGTGAGGCCCAGAAACTGGTCGTTGCAGATGAAGAAATAATAAGAACGAGTAAAATTTTATTCTTGTCCTTAAAAAAAAACAACTCTGGAAAAACTCAATCGGCAGTGCTTGTGTTTAGAATAAATCTGATGATGTATTTTAATTTCAGAAAAAGCTGCAACTTTTGAATTAAATACATTATTCATCTTCTATGTTTTGTATTAACGCTCAACTAAAATACAATAGTCCCTCATTTATCGCAGGGGATCCGTGGCCTGTGATAAGTGAAAAACCGTGAAGTAGGAATAGTAGCAGCTTTTTCTGCAGCTCTGGGCTGCACAAATGTGCAGCAGGTGCTAAATAATTTAAAATAATTTATTTTAAATAAAAATTCCATGCCGATCGTGCGGCTCATCCATCAATCAGCCAATTGTATGTCATGTCCTATCTTATTTTGAAAAACTGCGATAGAGTGAGTCCGTGATAAACGATCCGTAAAGTAACGAGGGACTACTGTACTTGTAAAAATTTACAAGATTTTAACTAAATATCACAAAGAGATTTTAATTATAGAAACATTAGACAAAGTTGGTGTTTTTTCCCATGTTGCATTTTTTTTATTTAGAAACAAATGTTTGTTTTTTAATGCCACGTTTAACTGTACATTCTTAAAGGGTACATAAAAGTTATACAATCAGATTTACACAATGTATTTTGCAGATCTTTAATCAGTGACAAAAGCTTTGAAATTGAGCATAGTTACCGTTACTGTATCGATATATATTTTCCACATAGCGCAGCCTATATTGTTTGGAGGACACTACATTAAGTCCCGTCATGCTGACATGTACGATCATGTCAAAGCTGTTTTGACAAAACTGATGTTTTAGACATAAACAACACATCACTTAAAAAAAGTAACTAATATGAGTAAAATTGTGATTTTACGCATCATAGCCTTTTTCTATTACAAACCTCAGTTAAATGAGGTTGTAAAAAGTGCCAGTAATTGAATTATGCGTTTAGATAACAGAGTTATTTAAATCTAAAATGAAACACCAGGACAACAAAAATACTCTTTGAAGAAAGTCTAATATTTATGGATGTAACCTGAAGGACAAAACTGAAAATTTGAGTTTTAAGATTAAATATTTTAAATAAAAGTAACAGTAAATATCACAAATTTGCTAGTGCAAGCAAATAATTGGCAAATAGAAAGCTGAGCTCAATTTCAGTCAGCTAGAGCATCTTTTTTCTTCCGATTCGAGAGATGAGTAAAAAAAAAGATATGAGAAGATTTATGAGACTTTTGGTTTCAGCTCAGCTTTGCATTCATACGTAAATACAGGCATGAAAGAGACGATAATGTCTATAAAACCACATAACTCATAGAAACTAATATCTATGGCAGAAAGAAATATGTACCTATGTAAAACTATTTTCAGTGGCTATATTCCCCGTTTAAACGTTTAATTAAATGTGTATAAACAAGGTAATAGCATTAAAGAAACAAAATGATAGCTGCGCGTAAACTTGGAGAAAAGAATCGGGTCCAGTTTTCTTTTCGGTAAACCACCCAAGAGCTTACTTTTACTAAGCATCCGAACTACGCGCCAAGGTTTCGAAGCCGCGGAGTCTGTTCTTCATCCCACCCGTACAACTGACACACGGGAACACAGAGGCCGTACTCCGAACACTTTTCATCCAGTCCGCCCCGAATTCCTAATAGAATAATACTGACTGAACTGACAATTTTACATCTTCGTGTGTGTGTTTATGTTGGAGGAGATCACTGCACCACACACATGGAGCTGCGAGGGTGGTTGACTGTCCTGGCCACGGTGTCCTGACTGTAGTTGACGATGTCTGCCTTCACCACACACTGTAAAGGTGAAAACACACGTGGAGTTAAAAAGCTGCTACAACTTGAACCTTTCCAAAGGAAGCTGTATTAAGCTGCAGCTTCTTGTTCTAAGGAACTGTACAAACTGAAAAAAAAATCAATGACATAGTATTTTCAGGGGACTGCCTTGAAAGGCAGCCACCTATTATTATCCACCTGACAAGGGTTTCTTAACTTTATATCTTACTCGTCCTTCAACTTTATTGTGGCCCGAACTGCAACGTGTACCTCCAAAAATGTCATATCAAAATGACCGACTCGGCACCGTGATGTATGCTTTTTTATTGGCATTTCAAGTTACCATGGTGACATAATTCTCAAACAAATACGCCATTTTTCTCATTTAAAAATTCTGACGGAACTCTAAAATAGCCACCACGCAGCTTTTCTCCAGAAACTTTCTAGTTTGCTTTTAAGCTTTGGTGGACATCTTGGATTTTTGATTTGGATTCAGTATGTGATGAGGAATGTTCTCAGCTATAATCACACCAAATTTCAGCGCTACGTGTGTAAAAGTAGCTGAGTTAAAGCGATTTAAATTTAGCTTTGGTGGCCATCTTGAATTTTTTATTTGAATTCAGTATTTATGGGGCATTGCTCTCAGCAAACACCAAATTTTAGCTTAATATCTCTAAAAATGACTGATTTATAGTTTGTTTCTATGAGAAAAATGGCATCTTTGTTTGCATATTACATTGCCATGGTAATGCGAAATGATAATAAATGCTAATAAAAGTAATAGCTCACATCACGGTGCCGAGATGGTCGTTTTGATATAATATTTGTGTGGGGGGGGGGGACATATTGCAATTTGGGCTGCATTAAAGTTGGAGGAAGAGTAAGACGCTTTTCAGGTGGATAATAATAGGTGGCTGCCTGTCTAGGCAGTCCCCAATAATAACCTATAAATAAATGAGCCATTCCACTGAAAAGAGCTTGACACTGCGACACATCTGTTCTGTAAATATGAAGCTAGAAGAATAACAAACACTGCTCTTGCCTGGTGATATGGAATCTAAAAACACTCATTTGTTTGTTACATGAGCACAAACACACGTGGAGTTAACGTGTTAACACGTTGAGCACAGAAATTGAAGTTTCATATTTAGAAATAAGAGGCTCATTTGCAGTGCACAGACTTGAGTGTGCTGTTAGTGTAGGCATGTATCTCAAACTGCTGAGCTGTCACTTTCATATTTCTTGGAACGTGGCTGAAAATACTTGCCAGGATTTAAAACTCTGTGAAATGAAAGTTCGAAGGCAGCTGAACGTTTACCAGGAGTCATGTTTGTTACTATAAAGAAAAGGTTAGCAAAACATTGTTGAATCTTTATTAACAACAGGGTAGACAAGAGATGTTTGATTAGATTCTCTTGTACTATTTCTAGAGCTCATACATGAACTACTGGGTCCAAATAATCATCAACTTCACTGCTAAAACTACAAAGCTACTGTTTTTGCATCCTAGCAGATCTACTTCAAAGCTGTAGAGACATACTTTCAACTATTGAACCGAACATATTTTGCTTTTCTGATTGTTTTCTTCACTAATCGGGCCTTCGTTCTGTGGGTAGTCCACCAGCTCCGCTTTCACGATCTTCTGAGCATCGGAAAAACCGGAGAAAGAAAAGACAAAAAAACAGAAACAGAACAAAGAAGCATGAGAGAGAATGGTAACAGAGTGAAGAATGGACATCAAGTAAAGACAGTGGATCAGAAAGGATGGATTAAAAACACAAAGTAAAGAGTACAGGACTGAAGCTTTAGGAACCACAGCTACGCCACTTATTTATTTTAAAACCACTAAATGTTACAAAAAATAAAATTGAGCAAACTTAAAACCCAATACTGCAACAAATGTCCTCTTTTAGATTTATTTTAAAGATTTGCAGTGTAAATAAATGAGACTAATTATGTTAGCAGCTGTGTTTTAAGCTCTCAGGTGTTAATTTTAAACTGCTTCTTTGTCCAATAAACTATTATTAATCACTTTAATTCAGAAAAACGTTTGGCACAAAACAAATGTATTTTTTGTATTTCGTTATTAATTACTTAGCATGTTTTATTCCTACAATGATTGTCGTCAGGTCTATTTTTAGACAAAAACATGAAGAATATTCAGTCTGACTGCTTTTTGCTCCTCTAAGTCACTTCAGATTTCTTGGACCTATGCAGCTGCTTTGTGCAGAATTTGTTAAGCAATATAAATTTAGATTATTGTTGCAACACCTAATTTAAGATTACACAAGCTTACTTATTCAGTTTGGCCTGATGGAAACGTTACGCTGTGAAGCTGCTTATTTTGCATGACCACTGCGGTGAGGCCTACGTGGCTGAATCTCCTGGTTGGCTGCCTGATAAATGAGTTGCCGAAGCCCGGTGTCGGAGTTACTGAGTGATCCATGGCCTCACTATCTGATCCAGCAGACAGAGGACCATGACGGAGTGGGCTGGCAGGCAGATATAATGCCGTCGGGGGTCGTGACCTTCATGTTCAGCTCTCTAAACATGACAACTGATAATGAGGCTTTGCTCGGCCTACAGCTACAGCCATGACCTGCTCAGACCCTAAACTCTGAATTCACAACACGAACTTTAAGTTCTCGTTTTGAAAAGATGTGTATAAGCATTTATTTGAGTTCTGCTGATTTTTTATTTATTTATTTATTTTAAGCCAGATGTTTTTTTACACTTCTTTAAGATTCATTGACAGAATATTTCATCCAGAGTCAAGAATAATTAATATAAAACTTTACTGAAACGTGAAGGAACCACTGAAAAAATCATAAAAGGTTACAACTTACAAATAAATATTGTTTCCCCTGACTTAAATTCAGACATTTCTGTAATGCACTAATGTCTATGAGTTTTTCAAAAGGTTTTTAGAAACATTATTGTTTTCTTGTTAAAAAAAAGGGTTAAAGTTTTTTTTAAAAGTCAATATAATCCTACAGCATGCTCACCAAGTTGCATTTTCATTATTTTGTCACTTAGCCTATGTGGGTTTTTTTTCTATATCGACAAATTTTATCAAATAGTATTTATATTGTTTATTTATATATGTGATGGTGTTAAATACTCTTAACCTTTTTCTTTGAAGTGCAAACTGGATCTAGCCAATCACTGTCTGATTTGTCTGGATTAAAGCACTTTACTTAACTGACAGCGATATCAAGGGAGGGATGGAGGAATAAATTAGATGGACAGCTCCATTAGCGTAAGGCCTTTTTCAGTAAGTCAGCAGCCCTGTTGGTGACGGGAGTGGAGCTTGAGAATTTTGCTTGTTCTTCCCATGTATGCTCTCCCTCCTCTGGAGGTCCTGACCTTTCTGTAGCCCTCAGGCTCATCAACCACTGCCTAGCCAATGTGGCTCCAGCCGCTCATATCAGACTCAGGATTGATGCTTTTGGGGGAGGTGACCTTGTAAATCCTGCAGCTACAACCATTGGGCACCGTGGTCAGACTGGCAAGCTGAAACTCTGTTTCATCCAAAAACAGTGGAAGATAAACCAAATAAATCAGACAGCTAACCCTAACCTCCTCACCCTCACAACTGCCTACCTTTAACCTCTGGCTTCATGCATTAATGTGGTCAATGTGGTTCTATTTACAGATGAGCCACATTGGTGTTAGGTACCTCACCACGGTAGGGAGACGTAACAAACACATGTTTACACACTAGAAAACCCGGCACATTGTGTGGTACCCTGCCATGACCTAACACACTCCCTGTGACCTCCATTAAGTTTAACCATAACATTGCAAGTTGAAAAAATTTTCAAAAAATTATTAGTTACCTTTAATTATTGTTTCCCTGTTAGGAACAAAAGAGACATTTGGAGCAAGACTGATTTAAAAAAAGTACCTATGTCTTACCTGGGATTGCTCTATTTCTGCTTTGTTTAATTTTATACCAAGAATCTCAGCAGCCACTCTCTGGAAACAAAGATACACCTGGAGAAAAAACAACAACAACAATAAAAACTTTTTTTAATTACACTGCACACACGATTTATTGAATTTGCTAGCACTTACCGAATCCCCTGTCTTGGCTGATACAAACTGACTGATGAGGCCATTCTCCTGGCAGAAGCGCTGGTGTTTGTCTGCCTTTACGGTCCTCATGTGCTCCAGGTCGACTGGACAGAACACAGCATAACGTGAGAAAACGTACAGAAGATGGATAGATAGATTTATATGGTAGTTATACAGCACTCTCGCAGGGTTAACTGTTACATATCGGAACGTAAACAGAAAAGATAACTGTTTACACTTGAGTTAAGATGGAAGGGGTCTGCCTAGTGTGCAGGGATGGTGCACATAAAGACACGTGGAAACAAAACATATTTCAATTGTTATGTTGCTTTCAAAGCCATCTGCAGAAGGTTCACTGATTGTTGCTTTTTTTTATACATGGAATGAGTTTGAGAGTTGGAATGATGAACTCCACAGCCCAGAGCTTCAGTCTCCAGCTGGTATTAAAGAGGGATGTGACACATTCCTCAGTGTAAGTTTAGTACAGTTTCACCCCGAAGCCAAGAACCTCTGTTTGACCCAAAAAAGACAAACCAGCCCAGCTGTGGAGAAAAGCTTAAGAAACAATATGTGACTGATCAAAGACTTGAGGCTATACTCACAGAGAGTGTAGATGGAGAGAAGTTTGACTTATGACTGTGCTGGGCCTTTAAGGTGGGTGCAAGGATCTAAGATTCAGGACTATCACCTGCACACTGATTTAGAGAGGACACACAATGACAGCATCCTTTTAAGCTTTTGTAAAGGTGTCCCTGTGCATTTGACTCCTGTGCAATGACACTCTGAGCTTTGCTTCTCTCCTTCTTTACTATGAGGTCATGCTGGGGTCAGTCAAGGAGGTCACCTGGGGGTCTTGAAGCTGAAAGCAATAGCTTCATTCTTTATTTCTAGCTTTGTGCAGGATGGTGGGCACGCCCAGTATCTGGTGCATATGTGTCTGTGTTAACTGGAGGAGGTCGAGCTACTGTAAGGTGTTGCATTTCTTTCACCCCTTCCTGAGTTTTTTGTCTTTGTGTAAGGTTTCATTGAAATTGTGAAGGATTTACTCTGTTCTCATGCCCTTAGTGAGTGTGAGTGTGTGTGTGTGTGGGGGGGGGGGGGGAATAAAGCCAAAGGCAGATAAAGATAGATGCATTTGAAGCAGGAAATGTAAACACTGCAATAGATCTATATTATTATTAAAGCAGTTTAAGTCGAATGTTTCAAAGTGCCAACACCAAAAAAATAAAATAAATAAACATTAAGAAAGAACAATTTTAGACAAACTTGAAACTGACAATCACTCTAATTGACATGAATGCAAACCTTTCTGGGTTACAGCAGACACTTTTATAGTTATTCAACATCCAGGGCAGACTGTCCTGCCTGTGCATAAACAGAGCTGTCTCACAGGCGACGGCAAGTTATTAATTCCAGTCATTAACAGTGGAGGTACCCGGCATGCTACTAGAAGTAAACAGTACTAATCCTTTGGATCCTGCACACTTGGGAAAAGTTATCCATCATGTGTCACCGACAGATTAACCAACATTAACACAAGTGCTCAAGAGCTAAGGAAGGTACATTACTGTTGGGTAAAAAACAGGGGTGCAAGTGAGTGGTGTTTCAAAATTCAACACATTGGGCTTTGCATCAACAGAAAGAAGTCACTTGCAAAGAAATGGTTACATGGACTGCAATGATATAGCCAGTTAAACTTAGCTATGCCCTAAAAAGTGATTTATAATTTACTGCTTACAATGATCATAGTAAATACAGCCATGCAAGATGATGCCTGACCTTGACTCCAACCCACTCCTGTAACAAATAACGCCAAAGAAAAAAAATCTCCTTGATGCACAAAATCCGTTCAAAAGAAATATTTTATCTAAAAGTACATAAGTGTTTGCAGCAACAATGTTAAAAGGAAAAATTAAGGCAAGATGCTTCAAAGAAAATGAAAAAGTTATGAATTTATTGTTTTCAGTTGATGTTTTGCTATCTTTGATTTTAAATGAAGATATTGGATTTATTTTACTTTTTTAATGTTTATATGTCCGTTTTATTTTTGTTTGTATCCTCAGTTCAGTGTCTATGAGTGTTAGAAAGATATATTTAAATACAAAATGTTTTTTAATCATTCAGTTCAGTTCAGTTTATTTACATGGCGCCAAATCCCAACAGAAGTTGTCTCAGGACATTGTACAAAAACATTCATCCATCCATCTATTATCTTTTACCCGCTTCTTCCATTCTGGGTCCCGGGGGTCGCCGGTGCCCATGTCCGGCAATCATTGTGCGAAAGGTGGAGTACACCCTGGACAGGTCTCCAGTCCATCACAGGGACACATAGAGACAAACGAGACAAACAACCATTCACTCTCTCACTCACACCTAGGGACAATTTACCTATCAGTCTAACATGCATGTTTTTGGTCTGTAAGAGGAAACCAGAGTACCCGGAGAAAACACATGCATGCACAAAGAGAAAATGCAGACTCCATCCAGAAAGGCCCCTGGACCGGGATTTGAATTGGTGACCTGTGTGCTGAGAGGCAGCAGCTCTACCAGTTGTGCCACCGTGCTGTCCCCAAAGAACATTCACATACATAAAAAAAGACAAATGCCAATTAGTAAAACGAAACTTTGAAGGAACATTAGCAGAAATAATCACCTTTTTTTTAAGTGGCCCACAAATACTTAAAAGCATTGTGTAAAAAGTACACTGCACTCTACTAAATCACATATCTTGATTAAAGGGGGTTTTTTTTGTATGTTTTTTACCACCAATCTTTATAATTAATTGATTTAGGAAACTCCATCTGACTGGTGTTAGTTCTTTTCATCCATGTTCTGTACTCATAACTTTTTTAGGTGTTTAGACAAATATGTATCATAATTTTTGCTGCATAAGTCGCAGCTTTTTGCATAAATTAGCATGTCTGTGACTTATACAGAGAAGCAACTTTTTAATGTTTTTTTTCCATATTCAGAACCCAATTTTTGGCTGAGATCTGATGATCATTCATTCTGACATGGAAAATATTCAACACTACCATTTTCAGTCACTAGTGAGCCCTCGACTAAAATGACAAGTCAAGTGTCTCATTAATGAGACACTTGGCTTGCCATACCAAGCCACCTTCGTCTCGCTCCGGCACTCCTGGAGCAAATGTCAAATCAGCTGCATTTCGCTGCACCACCCAGGCGAAATGCAGCTGATTTGGCCATTAAAGTGCATTTATTAAGGAAAAGTTCAACTGAGACACACCTTTGATATAATTTTGAGCAAATAAATAATTTTTATGTGTTCATCTTGTTAAACTTTTATTAAAGTCCTCCCGTGCACGCTCCCGCGGCCGTCATTTGGCAGCCAATCGATTTTTGGCACAACACCGGCCCACATTTCCAGGTTGTCAGCGGAGACGCGTAACAAACGCGACATGTCAGCGGTGACGCATAATAAATGTGACTTATACGGCGAAGCGATGCATTTATGGATTTTTCTGCTTTATTACAGATATTTGGACTGCTGCGACTTATAGGGCGGTGTGATGTATACGGTGGAGATATGGTAATCAAAATAAGCTAAAAGTTTTGTCTCATGCTTAACCACATGAGTTGAATTTTATGTTTTAAAATCAGCTGAGATCATTTGAATCACTGTTTACTCCGGTGGATAAACAAACAACCATACCCTTACGGTGACGTAAATGATTTATTAACAGTTAGCTTTTTAAGTCAAATAATAATATTGGCCGTTTTTTTTATTTTTTTTATTTTAGCCCGTGGCATCAGTCTGTGTAAACCAAATGTAAGACTAATCCTAGAGTTTTAGCGTTTTGCTTCATTTTTCTCACTAATGTACCCATTTCTACTTATCAGGTCAAAACAATCTTACTCCAACGATCTGGTTTCCCTCTGTTTCTGTCAAACTGTACATCAGCTTAACAACCCCTAGGAAATGACTGCAAACACGATATAAACTGTTTAGGCCTGTGAGCGCATAGAGATAGTAGAAGGGATCATCACTCGTCATGAGCGATTACCTCCCTCTCTCTGGTCACCATCAATGTTTATTTAAAAGCTCTGCCTGTCGTAGCATTGAATTACTATACAACAGTTAGAGATTGATATCTGGTGGATAAATTAGGCTTTTACCGTAAATAACTGGTTTGTTATTGCATTGGGCTATTACATGGGAACACAACCAAATGAGAAGAGACTATAGACGTTCCTCTCTACATGTCTACATGTCTTTTGTAGACGTGAGCTAAACCCCATCATGGAAAGAATCTTTTGCAATGGAAACACAATAAGCTAATGTGTCTCCAATGGCTAACCAAGCTGAAATCTTACACAGGATTGTACAATTCTCAGTGACACGTACTTACTGTTCTGCTCAGGCTGCCGGAGACCAATTGGAACAGTTTATTCAGAGAGCAACAGCCACAAAGTAAGCTTGCCATAACACATTTAATTGCCAGCAGTCTGGGTTTAAACTAAACAGCAGTTGGTGTGTTGAGGGGTGTGAAGATTTAGGGTGGGTTGTTTGAATTGTGTGTGTGTGTGTGTGTGTGTGTGTGTGTGTGTGTGTGTGTGTGTGTGTGTGTGTGTGTGTGTGTGTGTGTGTGTGTGTGTGTGTGTGTGTGTGGTGGGGGTGGGAGGTGGGGGGCAGAGGCTTGGGGTCATATCCCATTAAGTGAAAGTTACAGGGTTGAGCCTAATCAACCCCAAGGGGAAACCTATCACTTCCAACATTACCTCACACTGTGCCTTTAAGACTTTTTGCTTCAGTTTTCTTCAAAATGATGACCATGAATCTTTTTAGTGTACAATTAAGGCGAGGAAAATCAATTCCACTGCAGCTGCAGCTTTCTGGTCTTATTCTCAATTCAAAGGACCACTGAGTTTAAAAACATCCTTTAACGATTTCACAGCGCTGACATTTACTATTAAAGGCCTAGCATTCCTTGAAGAAATGCATATCACCCACCACCTTTCAAGTCAGAGTTTTAGACTATGATGAGATCAAAGTTTTATCTGTTTTGTAAATTACATTATGCACAATCTCATGCACCATTGTAAGATATTATTAAATGTGTTAAGAGGTCAGATTATATTT